GAGAGAGAAAGAGAGAGAGAGGGGGGGGGGAGAAATCTGTTTTCTTTGAGATTCTTACACTTGTGATGTGAGTGCTTCGTTATCGTGACTCTAATGTTGCATGTTAATACTTTTGTTTCTGAAAGCAAATGTTTCAAATACGCTCCCTGCAAACTGCAAAAGATTCTTTTTTGGGAACAAGAATCACGTGCTTTTAGACAGGTCTTAAAATTAGGCAATTTCGCTTAGCTAAAAGGGCATTTATGAAAAAAACAAACCCGCAACCCCATCTCATAAGTTCACACACATAAACAAAAGCCCGTTGCCGGATACAGTTATTGCTAAACGTCTTCCAATGTCCTCGTGGATATTTGAACTATCTCGAGAGTAGATGATGTGGTCCATGACAGACATGGAAATGACAAATTCTTTGCCATTCAGATGGCACTTAAATTTTTTTTTTTAATGTATAATCTGTAATGAATGTAAAGACCCCCAAATCCAATGTCATGACGCTTGTGATGAAGCGGTAAGACGCTTTGCCGTCAGACGCAGAAGACCGAAATTCCATTCCAATGTGGGGAGAATTACATTTTTCTCGAAAATGTCGGTCATTCAGCAAGGACGTTGTATCAGTTTAATCTCGTCAAGGTCCGTCTCCTTAACGACCTAAATTGTGTCAATTTGAAAAAAAAAATCTTTTTGGTAAGGGGGTGGGGGTGGGGGTGGGGGCGTGAAAACAGACACGATTTAAAAAATCGTTTCAGAAGGCCACTTTAGTGCCAGTTGGTTGCCTAAATTGCACCAAACTTCAGAAGTTCGCTTCCAAAACCATTCACTATCTTGAGCCACAACTGAGTTGGGATGACTTATTGTGACAAGAAGAACGTTTAACTCACCGGGAAGTTTTTTTCTTTTAAAGTGAGGGCCATCAAGCGACTGGCCTTAACCATAAATATGCTCACGGTCATCCTGTCTCGCCGCCACCAGGGACGCGCGACATAAACCTGAACCTCGACCCGCCACAGCGCGCAAGCCTCGTGTCGCGGCTATTGGAAAAAGTGCAGTTTTGCCCTGGGATTCTTGTGGCTTTGATGTGAGTGCGTGGTCCTCGCCGGTGCTCCTATGTTTTCCATTTATTAGTCCCAAATTAACATACACATCGCAGCGGCCCGCATTATAAAACCTCCATCAGGAGAGGAAGTCATGCGGTTTGAAGGCCGCCATAAATAGACCGAATCACGCGCTTCGCCAGAAGGGATTTTTACTGTGTGAAAAAGTATCAAAGATACCAGCGGCGATTGCGCGGAGTTGGCCAAAGATCGAAAAGAGATGAAGAGGGATGAAATCCTTTTGTCTCTCCTCATTTGAATAACAATGCGCGGGTTGACTCTTCATGAGAGAGAGAGAGAGAGAG